GAGCAGGGAGCCCGATGCGGGACTCGATCCTGGGACTCCAGGATCATGACCTGAGCCGAAGGCAGTCGCTTAACCAACTGAGCCACCCAGGCGCCCTAAAGATTTTTTTAAAAAAAGCATTAAGCCACTTAAAAAAAATCACAGTGGTAAGAAGTTCGGGTAGGTATGTGAAGATGAATTTGTCCTCTCTTGTGATCCAAACAAGAATCAATAAAAGCCATCAAAGTGCATTCCCAATTACTCAAGGATTTATCTCATTCCTATTACGTTAGGACCAGAAATCCTAATGGTTTTGAATGGCCCTAAATAATGAAAGTCATAAATGTGGACTAGCCTACTTTTAGATAGTTGCAATGTACAGGCTGGGGTGTGTACTTATAACGCTCATATCATACCTCTCTCAGACATTATAAAATCAGAAGTAACTAGAATATCTAAATCAAAAACAATACAAAGAAGCATTCAATCTTTACTAATATATTTAGATAGCCACAAGTGTGGGTCCTTCAAGGGAAACACCTGAGGAAATCCTCAGCTGGAGAAAGCTAGCTTAATAGCTTATCAAAGTCCTTCAAGAGAAAAGTAATCCCTGAGGCTGCCAGAACCCCAAGCCACATAAGAAGCAATTCTAACACAGGGTAAATCCCTTTTTCTTCTACTCTAATATAGCGCAAAAAGTGGGTAAATAATGTATTAATAGCCAACTGTGCTATTATACATTATGTACTTGATTATTTTCAAAACTAAACATGAGGGGCGCCTGGGTGGCTCAGTCGTTAAGCGTCTGCCTTCGGCTCAGGGCTTGATCCCAGGGTGCTGGGATCGAGCCCCACGTCCGGCTCCCTGCTCAGCGGGAAGCCTGCTTCTCCCTCTCCCTCTCCCACTCCCCCTGCTTGTATTCCCTCTCTTGCTGTCTCTTTCTCTGTCAAATAAATAAAAAAAATCTTTAAAAAAAAAAAAAAAACCAGAAACAAACTTTAAGCCTTTCAACAACCCTATGAGGTAAATATACCCCCATTTTATAGATATGGAAACAAAGGCTTAGAGAAACAGTGGGACTGGATTTGAACCAGGTCAATGTGACCATAAAGTCCAGGTTTTTAACTGCTCACAATGCTGTCGCCACAAAGTAAGACTTAGGCTGAGACCAGGGGAATGCATAAGAACTAGAAAGACAAAATACAAGTGCAGGTGTACGTTTAAGAGTATATGCAGAAAGAGGGCTGTCACATTTAAGAAACACAAAGAAGGCACAGGTGGCTAAAGCATAGAGAATGAGAAGCAAGGGGGTGTGAGATGAGGCTGGAGAGCCTGGCAGGAGACAGATGGCGCAGGGCTTTATGGGCTATTAAGGATTTAGTTTCATCTTGGTGGGGTGAAGCTAAATAAAGGTTTTAAGCAGAAAAGCAATATGATCAGATACAGAAGAGTAGCTGGGGGAGAAAGAGAGGCATTTCAACACCCTGAGCACTTAGATTATTATTAACCCTTTCAACAATTTGAAGGTAATATGTTAACATACATCTATCAAGGAGATGACCTAAAGAAGTTAGAGAAGGCAGGGTGACAGTGAGAGAAGAGGACGCATGAAGATGGTCATTCCCCATCCCCCCAAAGGAAAGGTGGATACCCTGTCCCCAGACGTATCTGGCTCTTTCTCTGATAAGCTATCCATTTTAACATCACTCTGGCTATTGTACAGAGCATGACGCTGAGGGGGTAAGAGCAGACATCAGGAGACCGATGAGGAGCTGTTACCTTACCTTAGCTCAGATAGTGAGGATAGTGGCATGGATGAGAGTGGTAACAGAGGACTTAAGTGGACAGATTCAAGAAACATTTAGGATGCAGAGTGACTAGGACCTGGTGATTCACTAGATATGGATCTAATACTTAAAAGAGGTTTGAGATATAAAAAAGAAAGGAAATGGAAAAGAGTCCTTAGAAAGAAGGAAGAAATAGGATCCAGAGCACAGAGGGATGGGCCTTCAAAGAAGGAGGGGAATCCACTGAAATACAAGGGAAGATGAGGAGATAGGTACAGGAAAGTGGGTTTGCAACTTAATGTGAGAAACTGAGGGAGCTCTGGTTAGACAGATTCTACTTCCTTTATAAAGTAGGAGGCAAAGTCACCCAAGAAGATCTGGGGGGTAAAGAGATGAGTAGAGACCTGAGGAAAATAGAGGTTTAAAAAACATTGTTGTAAAGAAAGGGCACATGAAAAATCATAAAATTTCCAGTTAATACTCAGAGACCAGTTGAAGGTAGCAAAAGTGAACTTATAGTGCTATCAATTTTCCTTTGTGGTTTTCTCACAAGGGCCTGGTTGCTTGGGTGCAGGGACAGAGAAGGCAGAGTGAGGGGGAAAAAAAAAAAAGATTTTGTCAGACCAAGTGCTACCATAGGGCAGGAGCAAGATTTTAGGATGCATGCAAAAAAAGGGACTGAAATGAGGGTCAGAATTCATGCTGGAAAGGGAGGGATGTCAAGACAAGAGGGGGCTAGAGAGTGGAAGGTCAACTGACTGGAAATTCCAGTGATGTCAGACAACAAGAAGAGTGGGGGTAGTTGAGTAAGTGACATGGAAAGTTTGGGAAGTTGTAGTCAGTAAGTGAGATGTGTAGAAGTTGGGGGCGGAACAGTTTCAAACAATGACAAAACCAGGGTAAGAGTATGGGAGCGGTCAGCTAAAGTAAACTGGAAGAATAAGTCACTGACAATGAACTGAAAGAACAAACCTAAGTTTAGGTTCTCAAGGAGTTTACAAACTCTGTAGGAAACATGAAAAAATGAGAGAATACAAGGTTATACAATTAAGTGCCAAACTGTAATTCAAAGCAAAAGTGCTATAGAAGTTCAAAGAAGAGAAATATGATAAAATGAGTATAAAATTACAAGTGGAAGGAGTTTTAGTAAGAAAAGGCCTCATGAAAGAGGTAGATCTTAAAGGATAAAATGAAAAGGAGAAACTAACATTCTGCATCAGGGGAAAAAAAGAGCTAGAACCAGGAGTGAAGAAAGAGAAACACACTTTTAAACTTCAGAGCACACTTAGAAAATAAAATATGCAGTCAACTCCAGAGAAATCATACTAAAGAGCATTCATGTAAATAATAAATAGAGATTACTCTTTTAGTTGGGCAGGACAGATCCCTAAATTTATTGGGAATAAAACACTAGCTTTGACTGATGTTAAAGTAGCTGAGTTCAATGCAATTTGTTCAAAGGAATGTGCCTAATGCTCTTTTCAGAGCTCTCTTGAAGTGTTACCAAAATATCCAAAGGAATGGAACCCTACACTTGAGGATGAGGGCGGCTGACTAGGCTTTCCTCCCTCCTCACCTGTCAAATTACTTTCCAAGGTAGATGATTAGGAGATAATTCTATATACACAGGGTATGTTTTAGTCGGTAAAAAATGGCCTACTGATAAACAAGCATATGATCTCAGAATGTGCTAATCATCCCTGCTTAAAGATTTTTTTTCTTTAAAGCACTAAAGATTTTATTTATTTATTTTTTATTTATTTATTTATTTTTAAAGATTTTATTTATTTATTTGAGAGAGAGAATGAGAGAGAGAGAGCAGGAGAGGGGGGAGGGTCAGAGGGAGAAGCAGACTCCCTGCCGAGCAGGGAGCCCGATGCGGGACTCGATCCTGGGACTCCAGGATCATGACCTGAGCCGAAGGCAGTCGCTTAACCAACTGAGCCACCCAGGCGCCCTAAAGATTTTTTTAAAAAAAGCATTAAGCCACTTAAAAAAAATCACAGTGGTAAGAAGTTCGGGTAGGTATGTGAAGATGAATTTGTCCTCTCTTGTGATCCAAACAAGAATCAATAAAAGCCATCAAAGTGCATTCCCAATTACTCAAGGATTTATCTCATTCCTATTACGTTAGGACCAGAAATCCTAATGGTTTTGAATGGCCCTAAATAATGAAAGTCATAAATGTGGACTAGCCTACTTTTAGATAGTTGCAATGTACAGGCTGGGGTGTGTACTTATAACGCTCATATCATACCTCTCTCAGACATTATAAAATCAGAAGTAACTAGAATATCTAAATCAAAAACAATACAAAGAAGCATTCAATCTTTACTAATATATTTAGATAGCCACAAGTGTGGGTCCTTCAAGGGAAACACCTGAGGAAATCCTCAGCTGGAGAAAGCTAGCTTAATAGCTTATCAAAGTCCTTCAAGAGAAAAGTAATCCCTGAGGCTGCCAGAACCCCAAGCCACATAAGAAGCAATTCTAACACAGGGTAAATCCCTTTTTCTTCTACTCTAATATAGCGCAAAAAGTGGGTAAATAATGTATTAATAGCCAACTGTGCTATTATACATTATGTACTTGATTATTTTCAAAACTAAACATGAGGGGCGCCTGGGTGGCTCAGTCGTTAAGCGTCTGCCTTCGGCTCAGGGCTTGATCCCAGGGTGCTGGGATCGAGCCCCACGTCCGGCTCCCTGCTCAGCGGGAAGCCTGCTTCTCCCTCTCCCTCTCCCACTCCCCCTGCTTGTGTTCCCCTCTCTCGCTGTGTTGCTGTCAAATAAATAAATAAAATCCTTAAAAATAAATAAATAAAACATGATAATATAATCCATAGATAACATATACAAATCAAAATCACAACTTCAACATAAATAAAAAGGTAACCAATGGTCATTTGCACAATTTTACAGTAACAACCTCACTAGGTAGTAGCTAAAACACGATCTAGCTACATAGAGAAATAAAACCGGTTTTAAAAAAAGCTAACAAGTATATTTTTCACCTCTTATGGCTTTAATTATTTACCTCAAATTGGAGACTGCAGTAATTTACATACCTGAAATACAAATCGAAGTTAAGAGCGACTGCAGAGTTGGAGGAGCTGACAACCACTACAACATCTAGGTCTTGAGACACTTTCAGTGAAGTAAAGGAAGAAATCTTGGCTGGCTCCTGTCTCTGCTCATTACACATATCTTCCTGGACAAGTGCTAAATCCACATGAGCTACATGTGTACCGTCCACTGTGTCAAAGATGTCTTTGAGTTAGAGTTAAAGAAAATGCCAGTCTTAAGTATGCCTCACTACTTCAAGCACAGGATGGGATGGACCTTATAAACTTCATGGCTGCAAACTTGCAGGGATAGTAACAAAAGGAATAGTGGACACAGAGGCAGCCCTCATCACAGTAATCGGAGGACCATGAAGCTGGTGACCCAATAAACCTGATTGAGAGCTCATTCAGCAATACTTGCTGAAAATCCATTCATTCTGTGCCGGGCCTTGAATGATACCTTGCTAATATTTTCCGCTAGAGTTCTACAACAGTGCTGTCCAAGAGAAATATAATGTGAACCATATTTGTCTTTGTAATTTTCTAGTAGCCTTATTAAATAAGTAAAAAAACCAGTAAACCTAATTTTAGTAATACATCTTATTTAACCCAATATATCCAAAATATTACCATCTCAACATGTAATTGATATGAAAAATTGAGATATTTTACAACCTTTTTTTCATATAAATGTTCAATATTTGGTATTTTACGCTTGTTAGCAAATCTCAGTTTAGACACTAAATATTCATTGGAAATACCTGATCTGTATTTAAACTTCGTAAAATTCGCATTTGAGAACTTAAATATATTTAAAAGTTCTCCAATAATTGAAGGAAGTATCAGCTTTTCAATTTGTAATTAAGTAAAATTGAGAATTCCGTTCCTCAATCACTGTAGCCAATTTCAAGTGCTCAACAGCCATAGAAGCCTAGTGCCTACCACAGCACGTTCTGTAACCTAACAACAAGGATGAAGTTAATGCAACATTTTATGACATTTTTACAAAAGAAATTTTAATTAAGGCTATTTTATATCTAAAGTAGAAAAACCATCCCTTTAATTCAGAAATAAAAGTTCCAAAATCATGTAAGGGGTCATTTTCCAAGGCTTCAGAACAATTTTGCTAATGATCTATGGATCTGCTAGAGACAAAGAAACTATTTCCAAAACCAAATTTAAAATGGTTAAGCAAATTCTATGATTCACTAATATGATGGAATCATTAGAGATAAGTGGATTATATTTATACATGAAAGTGAACATATAACATTATAAGCAGTCCTTGAAATCCTTTCTGGAACAAGCACATAGGAGATACTTAACAAGCACGTTTTGAATAAATGGGTAAAATAGAGCATATATAATTTAGAAAAAACACAAGCTGGATGATTATATGACTATGAAAAAACATGTACATATTAGAAAATATTTCAATAGAATATAAAGCAACATTGGTGAGTATTTTAAGTTCATGAAGATCTTTTTCCCTGGAAAGTTTTACTGAAAAACTAACCATTTCTACCTATATACCAGTCCCTAAAACTAAAAGCCTAAAAAAAGGCTCATCCTTCTAGGTAGTCTCCTCCCCTACATATCCCCATCTTTACTGCCAAGGATACAGATCCATCCTAAACTACTCAAAACAAAAAGAATTCCTCTGCAGAGCTGTGTGTCAATAATCCTGTCCACTGCCTGTGGAGGCAAGGGTAACGTGAAACAGTTGAGTACTCCAATCTCAGCATCTCTTTCAGGAAATACAAGGTGTAGGACAATACATTTGTTGATGAACAACAGTGATTTGTTATTTTGAAATGACAGAATTCTCAAAGATAATAAGGAAGCACCTAGGAAACAAAAGGAGATTATTTCAAACTCACTGGTCACAATTTTACAGTTGGTAATTTTGAATTTGTAAACATAACACAAACAGGTGAAACAAAGAGGAAACAGCATTTTGTCCCACTCTAGGCGGTTACTGCTCAAACCCACCTAAGGAAGTGATTACTGGTAGGTAGGTAAGAGGATGAATAAAGAAAGCCTACAATGTCTTTGTTCATTCTGTTTATGGCCAGAGTCTGAGAGCACACCAGAAGATTCGAGAGAAAAAAAAAAACCCTACTTATCCCAGGAACCCCACAAGAACAATCAGATTTTTTTTAAAGAAAAAGAAGATGGGAAAAAAAAAAAGAAGGCTGGTGCCTTGTGGGCTCAGTTGGATGATCATGCGACTCTTGATCTTGGGGTTGTGAGTTTGAGCCCCGCACTGGGTGTAGAGATTACTTAAAAATAAAAAATTTGAAAAAGAAAAAAAAAATGAACCTTAAAATCAAGGGTGTCAAGTATGCTACTGCCTTAAATATAGAAGCCTGAGTACTTGGATTTCCGTTCCCTGCAGCCCTCAGGATGGGTAACCAGTCTAGATCAGCACCATCCAACAGAAATACTGTCAGCCACAAATGCAAACCACAATTAATTTTAAATTTTCTAGTAGCTGCACTGAAAAAAGAAACAGGTGAAACTAATTTTTTTACATATTATTTACCCTATTACATCCAAAATATCATTTCAACATGTAATTAATACAAAAACCATGAACAAGATATTTTACTTTTTTATACTAAGCCTTCAAAATCTAGTATGTATTTGACACTTAGAGGACATCTTAATTCACATTAACCACATTTCAAATGCTCAAGAGCCCCATGTGACTAGTGGCTACTGTACTGGACAAGGCAAATCTCCCTACCTGATTTCATCCCTTTAAGAACTTTTCCTGGAATATGTAAGATTACATAGTAATGTCACAGACTTAAACATGCTGAAAGACCACCTGTAAATACTTACTGATATTTTGATCTTCAATGAGCTTTTTCAATGTCTCCTCGCTACAGCTATACAAAATGGTTGCATCACATCTTCCATCTTTCAAATTAAATTCATAGATAAACAGTTCATAATTTTCACTAAGAGCAAGCAGTTTGGGCTTGTCTGTTGGTGAGCTGCTGTTACGAGAATCCTCCCATACAAAGCTAAGGAAAAAGCGTAGATTATTATATTCTATTATCCACAATGTTTACCCACAACGGTGAGGGTAGAAGGGCAGAAGGAGTAAAAAACAATTCTTTAGGCCACATGGTAGTAGCATTAATCCCACACCCAACTTAAGGGAATGTAAATTGCTCTGGGACGTCCCCCCCTCATTCCCCTGAGCCCCCTTTAAGCCAACAATATAGGAGTGAGGGATGAAAAGAGGGCATGGAGCAATAAATGATGGCTGCTTTTATTCCTTCATCTTAAATCCTGTCTGATGAAATGTTTAAAGGAATGGTCATAAGGATAAGTTTCAACAACCAAATATGTATATTATTTACAAGAGGTGGTACTCACAATTAACAAAATAGGTTTTGCTAACTTAAATGCTTTCAATGACTTTTAAAAAGTGGACTATTTGTATTTATAGACTATGAAGACTCCAAGATGCTATATTATAGTTCTGTCCAACAGAACTCTTCATGATGATGGAAGTGCTCTATACATCTGCACTGTCTAATATAGTAACCAACAACCACATGTGGCTACTGAACACCTGAAATATGAATAGTGCAACTGAGGAAAAATGCAAAATTTATTAAGTCACATGTTGGTAATGGCTACCGTGCTGGACAGCTCAGTTACAAAATTATTAAAGCAGTATAATGTCAACACACCAACAATGGCTAAGAATGGTGGAAAGAGACTAAAGAATGATGCTATAGCTTCAAATTAAATTACATTTAAAAAATAAAAGGGGGGCGCCTGGGTGGCTCAATTGGTTAAGTGACCAATTCTTGATTTCAGCCCAGGTCATGATCTCAGGGTCATGGGATTGGACTCCTTACTAAGGGGAGTCTGCTTGAGATTTCTCTCCCTTTCCCTCTGCCCTCCCCCCCACACACACACACATGCCCACATGCAAGGGCTGTCTTCTCTAAAACAAATCTTTAAAAAAAATTTTTTTTAATTAAAAAAAAGTGAAAGGGCCCAATTCTGAAAACAATACAATGGAATAAGAGGCTACCATCTAAAGTTTCATCTTTAAAAAAAAGCTGTTTTCTACAGAATAAATTTTATATCTAAAAAAAATCAGACTTGGTGCTCTAATGTAATTAAAGAAAAAGACTGACATACTTTATATTTCTATCTTTATACCTAAACTGATGATTTTTCATGAATACCCAATTCCTGACTGTTTACAGTGAAAATCTGGAAAACAATCTGAATGTCGATTATGGAAAAGATTAAACACATTAAGTCATATTTAAAAGGCAGAATACAGTGACACCATTGACATCATTAGCATATGGACCATCACATGAAAAGACAGGAAATTTTCAATAAAAATAACTATAGAATGTACAGTTGATTTCAACATATATAAAAAGAACTGTTTACTTTGAGATAAGTAAACCCTGAATACTGTCAATTTTTTTTTTTCGCCATGAAGCACTTGAATTAAAATCCAATTCAAACAGAAAGTCCTTCTTGATCCTCCTTCAATCTACTAATTTCATGCAGTAGCTTATGGATGCCCTCATTATTTCATGTGTGTGTCTTCTTTTAAATTCTCAAACACCTAAAGAGTTCTCCTTTTCTCTGCCTCATTCCTTTCTTTACAGGACTGTGTCCAGATACTTAACATGGTAATAAACCGGAACACAGGAATAAACTAATTTCCGCTATAGAGAGATTCTTCCTCCTAGCATCTAGAGATCAGGAGAATACAAACGCCCAATCGATTAAAGCACTGGCTTATTTAACAAACAAATCTCTATTGTCAGGCACTGTTACAGAACCTGGCGATTCCAAGCTAAGACACCTCTTAACTAAATGTTTTAGGAGATGGTTTCTAAACGTTTTCTATTGAAAAGAGCCCAGGGGTGCTGTCTGGCTCAGTTGGGAGAGCAAACCCCTTTACCTTCGGGTTGTGAGTTGAGCCCCATGTCGGGTGTAGAGATTACTTAAATAAATAAAACTTTAAAAGAGAGAGAGCCCAAAGACTCAGAGGGCACTCTCAAACTTCATGACATAAACTCCCAACTCCTGGACGGAGAGTTACAGAAGTGGAAATTTAATACATGATTATAATTGGTTTTTTCTGTCTTCCCAAATCATGCAAGCTCCACATATATGTCTTACCCAACTTTTTAGAGACTGCTCCTATGTAACAGTTTGCGTGTAATAAATACTCGTTGAGTGAATAAATGAATGGGCAAACTAGAATCTATCCTTGAAGAAGGCGGCGGGGGCGGCGCCCGCGGTGGGGGGGCGGGGAGGGAAGGAAGTCGCTGTTTCAGGCACAAGAAAAAGGTATCAAGATGATTCAAATTAGAGATGATCCCCAGCTGCTATCTTTAAGGGATTTAACTGAAAGAAAATGCGCAAGGTGCACAGCACAGTAACGATTAATTAACCTATGCTGAATTAATGAAAGAACCCCTACGTTGGGACCTGCTCCGGGTTCGCTGCGGCCAGCAGAGGAGTTGGATGCCTTTTCTGCGCCCCGGGAACGGGGAAGAGAGGGTGGGGCTGCAAAGCGAGGAAAAGGTTCCGAGAGGGCACCCGGATCGCATCTCAGGTGTTTCCCGCGGCTGTCATTCCTCTCCCGCCACCTCCACGCCTGGAGTGGAGCATTGGGGCTAGCCGAGCTAAGGCTCGGGACTCCTCGGACACTGCCCAGCCCTCCCGCAGCACTTACTGCCGAAAGGGGCCAGTGAGGCAGCAGGTACCCCCGCTCCGGCCGCCCGGCGCCAAGGAAAGCACTTGCAGGCTGCCTGCAGCTGTTAGGCTCCCCAGAACCTCCTGCTCTCTGTGCAACTGCGCCCGGGATCCCAGCCGCCCCGTTGCCTCCACAGGAACCGGCACCAACAGCATAGGTAGAACACGCTCCACGGCTTTAGCGCTGCCGGTGCCGCAGCCAGCAGCTCCTCCCGCGGCCTTTTCTGCAGCCATTTTGATTCGGCCATTTCTTCCGGTCACCTGAGCGCAGCTGCGTCCTGGGCATGCGCGTGGAACCCACCCTCTCGCCCCCTCGTGACTCTCCCCGGGACAGCTGAGCTGTCTCGCCGGATTGCATTCCTGGCCTGTGGATGCTGGCGTCAATTACTCCAGCAAAGCTACATCTGCCTTTGCTTCAAGCCTTTTTACTTAACTACCTTGAAAGAGTTAACGGTCAAATTTAGCGGCTTCAGGCACGCTGTAGCAGTTTTACTCACTCCCTGGCATTACCCTCTGCTTTCTTATTCTAAATGCTTCCCCTCTATGGGAACCGGTTCCTGCCTCTCTCCTTTTGCTTTTCCTAGTGTGCTGTTATTTCCGTTTACAGGCCCCAATGGTACCATGTCTTTGGGTAGTGTGGACCGATCCATCATATGAGTTGACCTGAATATTGAAGTCAAATAATATCCCTTGTAAAGGACAGGGAAACAGGGTAGTTAAGGGGTGGTGTGGATAGAGTTCCCGTTTCATTACTAGGCTTCTCAAGGAAGTATGATCCAAGGTCTTCAGCAGAGCTGGAGAGGAGCAGAGGGGGTGAGGAAAGAAGAGTGGAGGAGGAATTTAGGAAGTTCTCCTAATAAACATCAGTATCTTTCTTAACACATTCTTTTCCACAATCAGCTGGGGTCACACAGGTGACCAACAGGCCAACCCCTCCACTTGTGCTTTGATTCACATCCTCTTCTTGTTCTGAGACTTTGTAAAATTCTTTTTTCTCCTACATTTCTTTCTCTCCCTTTACTGGGGTGCTTTATCATGTGAACATGCTGTAATGTCACGCTCAAAAGAAATCCTCCCTCAACCTACACCAACCGCTACTGTCAAATTTTACTTCCCCTTTAGAAAATTTTTACTTGACTCCTCTTTTTTAATGCCCCCCAACCCATTTTTCCTCACCCTCCCCCCGCCCCCTTAGACATTGCCGATGGGCTGGATAAAGGTGGTGGCTGTCAACCCTTAGTTCCAAGACTTATTCTAAATTGCTCTGCTTTCCCTCACCCCTGCTTTTCAATTCTTGCCTGAGCAGATGGAATAAACCTCTGAACATTTTTCTCTGCTTTTCTCCCTTGTTCCTCTGACAAGCAGCAGTCAGAATGATCTTCTAAAAATGAAATCACATTACATCCCCGTTTAAAATTCTGACTATCCATTAGTTAGAATCCCGATTTTTAAATCATGGCTTATAGAGCTAAACCCTATTTACCTCTCTCCAACCTCAACACCCTTCCACCTTATCTGCGAACTTCAGCCACACTTGCCTTCTTTCTGTTCCTGAGATACATTAAGTTCATTCTCACGTGGCACCTTTGTGCTCACTAGTGCCTCTACGTGGAGTACTTTCAGCTTAATTGTAACTGCTATTAACAGGACTTCCTGGACCATTACACTCCAGTCACTCCCCACCCAGTTTTGTTTCCACCAGGATATTTATCACTACTTGATCTTTTCCATCAGTCCCTGTCTAGCCAGAATGTAAGCTTCAGAACAATAGGGAGTTTTCACTGCTCACTGTTACCCTACCACCTAAAACCGTGCCAGGTTCCTAAAAGGGACTCCAGGGATTGATGAATACATGACCTTGTTTGTCAACTTAAACCAAACATTTCATATCCCAAGGGGGATATTTATAGCCAACCCTATTAGCTTAGCTACTCTCTTTATATAAAAAAAAAAAGGTCAGCAGTGAAGAAATTTCCAAGGTCATACTTTTGTTAGACATAACAAGGCCTTGTCCCTTTTATTAAGGGCATTTTGGGGGCATTCACACATAAGAAAATAACTTTCATTTTACCTCCTAACTTATGACAAGTTCCAACACATCATTTTATTATCTCTTTAATTATACCTTATTATGTCATGCCCAATATATCAAGGCATAAGAAATGTCCTCAGACTCTCTGGATCCTGTAGACCTAGCCCATACAGGTAGTATCTGATGATTAAACTTTTCCCATGTATACATATTTCAGAACAACTGGATCAGGAGACCCAAGCAAGCCTACAAAGAACAGATTTTTAACTGTAAACAAGTCTATTTTCTAAAGTATGTGTGTGACTTGATTACCATCTGACCCTTTCCAGCAGCTGGTAAATTGAGGACAGAAGTGACCTTCCTGTTGCTCATGCTTTTGTCTTAGATTAGTTGTCCCTCAGATATTTCTTGAATTAACAATTAACAATTCAGCTTCTCATATAAATCCTTGCCCTTAAGTAGCTTGGCATGATAAATGAGCAAAGCATCTGGGAATAAATTAAAAGGTTTGGCTGAAGAAATAGGCTTCAGGATCCTAACCCGGGCAGACTGGTTACTGGGTAAATGTTAGAGTGTCTAAAACTACTTCTAAATACAAATTATCCTCCACACTCTTGGGTTAAAAGAACTAAATGACAGAACTTAGATAGTGCTTGAACAAGGGGCTATGACCTCGTTTCTGCCATCGCTTACTCCATCCTAGCCTCTAGGTGCTGTACCAATGGTTTGTCCACATGGTGACAGAACAGAGGAAGAAGGTTGCTGGGGAAGGCTAGGGGTTCTGCCAGAGAGGCTGTTGGCATTTGGGCTATCTCCCAGGCAATCAGAACCACCATGTCGGTCCTGGAGGGCAGAGAAGACAGAAAAACATCAGAGTCTTTGTATCTATGCAGGAAATAGACTCAAGGCCAAGGTTCCCAATTATTTTACCACCACCACTATCACCCTCTGTGCATGTAACAGTTAAGAGAACATTTGCATATTTTGTATGTGTCAGGCAATGCTTACATATCCTCCTTAAGAACTCTGGTTATTATCATTATCCCTAGGTTATAAATGAAGTAACAGGCTTAAAGAAGGGAAGTAACATATCTGAAAGTTGCAGTGCTGGTAAGTGACAAAGGCAGAATTCCAACTTGGGTCTGTCTGACCCTAAACCTTGTCCCCTTAATCATTGTTTTACTACCTTCCATGGGAAACCAGCACTCTAGGGCACTATAGAAAAAGGAAAAAAAATGAAAAGGGAGAACAGTTGTAACTCTGATATTTTTCTCTTCTCTGTCCAACTTCCTTCCCAATACTTGAATATACTACTCAGGTAATATCTCACCTGGCTCAGCCTATACATGCCAGGGGCACTGAAATAGTATATTTACAAGGCCTTTAAGATCTTACCAAGCTGTATGATCACTGTTGGGCTCCTCGAGGGAAGACTCCAGAGATACCAGCTGCTCCCCATGACTCAGTAGGGCATAGAGCAAAGATATTCCAAACTGCAAGTGAGACAGTATGCAAGGTAAAAGGAGTTCACCAGAGGCATTCAGTGCTTTCCTGGCTCTGCTATTTTCCCAACTAAAAGGGCAGGTTCCCATGTAAAAATGGAGTTCAACACTGGTCAAACTGTCAGATTTTACAATGACTGGCCAAAGAACACTCAGACCTTTCAAAGGAAATCACTGCTCTGAACTTTCCAAAAGATCCTTGTGGAGAGTTGATTAAATGCACACTTGTGGGTCTTACTCTCAGGAGTCCATCTATAGATGAGGAATAGACTCAGGAATCTGATGCAAGTAGTTTGTGGACCCCACTGAAAGCAGCATTGCTTTAAGCAAAGATCTTCAGAAAGGGGTTCACAAAATAATCCATTGGGGTATTAAAAGATACCAGAACTTTCACATCTAAAGTCTCTGCATTTAAAATTTTCTATCTTGTATTTATTATGTATTTAGTGTAGTGTTATATGTATAGGACTTCTAGACAAGCACATGGGTGATAGGGTTCAGAACTTTTTACTAAGAGGGATACACCATCAAAAAAGTTTGGTGACCTCTGCTCGAGAGGTCCCCATCAGGACCATCCTCAGGGAGGCTTTTAGAAAAGCAAATGCATGGGCCACACCCCAGGTCTACTAAATGAGACTCTCTCGGACCAAGGAACTCTCCAGGTGATTCTAGTGCTCACTAGACATGGAGGAGCACTGCAGAGAAGATGGAGAGGTAACATTCCTTTGCTTATTCCTTGCCAGGGATACCAACTGGAGGCCATCTGTGTAAAGAGAAAAGCCTCCCCACTATGCTACCTGGTTCTGAAGCACCAGAGTGATCGGCCGCTCTGAGGAGCCAGGTGGAAACAGCATGAGTCCCTGAAGTCCTTGGAGGAGTTCATGGAAGGTCAAGTGATGGATACATTTGCCCAGAGGCTTGAATAACATTTGTAGAGCCTGCAGGAAGGTCAGTAAGTGCCTCTCTCAGACTCCACTACAACTTCACCTCCTCCTACTTTGCCTCTACCCCCTTTTCTTGATGACCTGTTTTGGGTACTTTCCTGGTCAGGTTACTTAATTAAGCCTATCACCATTGAGGTCTCTCCAACCTTAATACTGGTCCTTCAATACCCACTTATCTAGGAGGCCTTCCCTAAAAAGGGTAGATATGGGGCTCAACACTTCTCAAGGAGTCTTTATCTTCTCAAACCTCCACAGCCCACTCACACCTGTGCAACCACATGCCTGTGTTTCTTGGTCATTGTACCTCAAGATGATCGGTTGTTACTATAGTAGTTGGTTCTGTAACCTCCTCAACTGAGGGTGTCAGGTTTGGTACCTCTCCCTGCCCAACACTTTCTTGGGCATCTCTGGGGGTGGGGGACAGAGAATGGAGAGGAGGGGTCCCTAACCCATCCACAAAACCATCCTCTTCTCTTCTCAATGCCACAGTACCTGATCAGCTACATCCCTCCTGACTAGGAGGGGCAAGTGGTGGGTGATAGCCAGAAGAAGGCTAACAGCTCGATGCTGGGGCAGGAAAGGGAGCAGCCTTGCCACTAGAGCTTTCCCCTTCCTCACGGAGAGCACCTGCAGGAAGCCATCTGCTGCCTCCCTACATGTGAGAAAGGAGAACATTTTCAGGGCTCTGCATAGAGGGCTCTGGCTACATGCCAGAAAGGAGGGGCAGAAGGAAAGCTCATGTGTTTGCTCATCTTTCCCTTTCTGGGCTGG